CGACATTTCAAGGTTGTAATAACTAAAGGGCAGGAGGTGGTGTAGTGACAAGTGGCGCGCTCACCACTCGCGCGGTCCTGGGTTCGAATCCCGGGTCGACTCCCGCCCAGGCCAACCAAGCCTTCTACCCTCCGGGGACGGTGAATTGGTACCAGATTCGTCTGGGAGGATAAAACACTGACTTGTACATCGGCTGGCCCCGCAAGTCATTGTATAGGCCACATCGCATTCAATAAGCCACTACGATTCTGAATGGAAGTAGAATGCGTGCCGCATCCCACAAAGGGATTGATCACGGCAAAGACTTTATCCTTTTACTTTTTAATAACTAAAGGGTGCCTTTTGACTGATTCCGAATGAAAAAAATGCTGAGGATTTCAGCATTTCGTCGCCGCCGCGAGTTGAGCAATCTTCTATAGTGAACCGGTACCATACAAAGCACGGTGTTCGGATTTTGATGGAATTCACTTCGTTTTATCGTCTGCCGTGTTTCTCGTGCAAACTTCTTGTGATGAAATTTTTATGATTTTGTTGTATATAAATAAATTATCCTAAATGTGAAATGAATTTTCAGGGCCAAGTTTTGCCTCACTTTTTCCGTACAAATGTACAAGACAGACTTACCCTTAGCTGCTGCGTCCAAGAATCCGGCAACCAACGTAGCACCAGGGTGCAGCATCGGGATGGGTGGAAGGGTGGTGCCAGTACGAGCCCTTCCCTCCATTCAACATATCCTACCAAGCATCTTCCCTGGTTCTCTCAACTCCCTATCGACTTTCCTAAAATCTGCCTCTTTCCCATAAATTTTGCTGGGGGGGGAGGGGCTACGGAAGTACATGGGGTAGCGCACTGAAAAGGGATGAATCGCGAGAAGTCAGAGTGAGAAAATTCTCTCGCAAAAAATCTTCTGAAAGCCAGAAGGGATTCCCCCTCTCCACCGACCAAATACGACCCTCGAAGGGGTCCTCCTAAAAATGCTGTACCTTGGTCAGCACGAAAGTGAAGTACGCAACGAAGCAGCTGGCAAATATGCTCCAGTCAAGAGTGAGAGATCGCTGAGAAGTAGCGCGTCTGGCTATGGTTAGGCGTGTGGTTGGTCATGAGGCGTGTTCGTATTTGTGGCATTCTTTATTAATGGGTGGAGATATGAAAGAGATTCGGCTGTCATAACCCTGCGGTCTCATTGCTACGCACTTACAAGTGGTAAGAAATAGGACCCCGTTAGAGCTACGGTCCTGTCCACCTCGCCCTTGGAACAGAAAGCAAGAGGTCATGTGAAAGGGCGTGGATCGGAGCAAACTGGGGCAGCGTTGTTCACCAAATGTTGCGGGCTCAGGCTCAGGACGGCATCATTGTTGGAAGAGGCGGCCCTGATTGCCCATCCACCTTCTCACTTATAGCGATATTGATGTGATATGTAGGGTCAGTCTTCAAAGGCAAGTGACACGACGAATCCCCAAGACGTATAGGATTAATATGTCTAGCAGAGCAGGATTCGGCACCCCTGAGCAGGCGCCGTGAAGCGTCTCTTCTAATTAGGGTACCCTAAGGCACTACCAAGCTGCAACGTACCGGCCCAGACGCCCACTGCGCTCGCCCGCCCACGTGTCCGACCGATGCTGATGCTCGTATCGTTTCATTTGCGAAGTACAAAATGAAGCGACAAGATTGATATGAAGCGGCTGCGGTGCTGCCTAGGTATACAAGGTATATCAGTACATACGAGCAGCCTTACCTACCGTAGCGGTTTCTGGCGCGATGCCAACGAGGAACTCGTCCGAAATCGCTTTCTGAGCTAGGTAGGACAAAGGCTTTTTTGCAGGTTTTTGACCGTTTCACTTAGCATTTTCCCCTTTTTCACACCATATAGACCCATGCTAGCTTTCAGACCGAGTACCAAATTATCGTGCCTTATGCTTTCAGTTAAAGGCAGT